TGCAACCTAATGGTATAACCCTTAAACATTTCAAACTTACATTATTTCATTTAACAAAATTCATAATTTGATATATCTAAGGTCTACACCATTGTTTGGTGCCAGGATGTAATAAATATCGGGTAACACGATATTCTGCAAACCTGAAGTACGTTGTACATTATTAATTATTTACGATTGTAAACTTCTACGTAAAACCCATTATTCATTTGAACTGCGCTTCAAATAAAGACGTAGCATGATTAGCTTAATCATGTGATAAATATTATGAAGCACTCCTTAATTGCGCTTATTTTAACTGTGCTATAAATACGTAAAATGATTTTCTTAATCATGTGAGATAGATTACGACTTAGGAATTGCAATTACTTTAAAATATGAACCTCAAATACATTAGTTGATATAGAGACTCCGTACTGTTTAATTTGAGTAGGCATTGATAGTTGCATGCTTGTGTCCGTGTAGACATTGATAGCTGATCGCGCCCATTGTTTGGCATTGATCAAATCACGTTCTGGTGTCCGTGTAGACATTGATAGTTGATCGCGCTAATTGTTTGGCGTTGATCGATTACATGCTTGTGTCCGTGTAGACATTGATAGCTGATCCCGCCCATTGTTTGGCGCTGATCGATTACATGCTTGTGTCCGTGTAGACTTTGATAGCTGATCGCGCCCATTGTTTGGCGTTGATCGATTACGTGCTTGTGTCCGCGTAGACATTGATAGCAGATCCCGCCCATTTTTTGGCATTGATCGATTACATGCTTGTGTCCGTTTAGACATTGATAGTTGATCGCGCTCATTGTTTGGCGTTGATCGATTACATGCTTGTGTCCGCGTAGACATTGATAGCTGATCGCGCCCATTGTTTGGCATTGATCGATTGCATGCTTGTGTCCATGTAGACATTGATAGCTGATCGCACCCATTGTTTGGCGTTGATCGATTACATGCTTGTGTCCGTGTAGACTTTGATAGCTGATCGCGACCATTGTTTGGCGTTGATCGATTACGTGCTTGTGTCAGTGTAGACATTGATAGCTGATCGCACCCATTGTTTGGCGTTGATCGATTACATGCTTGTGTCCGTGTAGACTTTGATAGCTGATCGCGCCCATTGTTTGGCGTTGATCGATTACGTGCTTGTGTCCGTGTAGACATTGATATAGCTGATCGCACCCATTGTTTGGCGTTGATCGATTACATGCTTGTGTCCGTGTAGACTTTGATAGGTGATCGCGCCCATTGTTTGGCGTTGATCGATTACGTGCTTGTGTCCGTGTAGACATTGATAGCTGATCGCACCCATTGTTTGGCGTTGATCGATTACGTGCTTGTGTCCGTGTAGACATTGATAGCTGATCGCACCCATTGTTTGGCGTTGATCGATTACATGCTTGTGTCCGTGTAGACATTGATAGCTGGTCGCGCCTATTGTTTAGCGTTGATCGATTAAGAGTTTGTGTCCTGGTTTACATTGATAGCTCACGAGATTGTGTCCGGGTTTAGACATTGATAGCTAAGTGAAACTGAATTGTAAGATACGTGTTGGAGAACCCGTTCTGGGGTAGGGTATTTACTTCAAGAATACAGGGATTGGAAAATCTGAGTTTGTGACAAATACTTAATTATTACATAAAAAGAAAAGGTGTCAATCATATTATTTGTATCCTTTTACCTGTTAAAGAACTTGCTAGATTTAAATATTTGGTTAATTTCAATCCAATTGCAAACCAAACACATATTTTCTAAATCGTTTAAATTTAACATTATTTACATATCCAAATGTATGTCTTTTGTACAGAATTTGTTTGATAAATATTTAAAATTTGAACTGAGAAAGAAATAGTCTAAGGACTCTAAAAGAACGAGGTTTTTGTAAAGATGGTTAAATAGATAGACAGACGAATACAGAGGATAAACTACTTTGTATTTCTAGTATAATGACTAATTATTGTTACTGTTTCCTCGCCGTTAAACAAATTAGTTTTAGTTCTAAGATCTGACTGATGGGTTTATTTTATCCTATCTCCAGGTCCAATCCTCTAGCCATACATACATATATCCTAGAAGTATACTACATAGTTACATAGCTCTCCTCTATACATTACCCTCTAAAATCCATTGTATTTAAAAAAAGTCAAATGAAATAAGAATGATTGAGAATTTGAATTAAAAACGCATTAAGGATTAATAAAGATTACATCAATTAAAATGAAAGATCATTAGAATGAATTAGAATAAATGCTCATTTAGGTGAATTTTCATTATGATGAATGAGAAGGTTGGATGAATGAGACCTAGAATGAATATGAATTAGGATTAGTTAGGATGAATATTTATGAAAATTAATGAATTTATAGAAAGTATAAAAGATAGAATAAAAAGAACTGTTCGATTATAAATGATTCAATAGTATGTTAAATATTGAACTTTCAGCAAGTTTTGTTGCTAATTCAGTTTTATTAATATTGCCAGCAAGGCTGTTGAAGCTTTTGAAGAACAAAAACGATTCCATAAAACAAGAAATATTTTGAATAATTCCAGTAAAAACATCAGAATATTATGAGAAGGTAATTCTGCAAAAAATATTCTCATCTCTTACTCTGTTCAGTGTAAACCGTTCTAGACTTCTTGGAGATATTACTGTTACATAATTCTTTTCAGGGAATTTACCCCTCCATCCCATTCTAATGAGAAGATGCAGTTATTTTTGACCTTTGATGGCTTATCGAAGACCGTGAATCATGCATATAAATATATTCTATACAGAGCAAATTAAAGAGCAGGTTTCGATGAATATCTATTGAAGGAAGATAATGATTAATCTGGTAATTATTGTACTGGAAATCTACGCTCAATCCATCAACTCCAGTTTGATGATTTAGTGGCTGGGTAAACAAGATGATTTACTCAAATCTCTTTTCCTTTAAATATATATGAATAGAATCCAGTTTACAAGATGTCCATAACAGAACAATTAAGTACATACGTTTGCAAAACTGTGTTGTTAAATAAGGATTTATAGATATTAAACCAAAACAACTGTTTAGTGTTTAGATTAGTTTTATCCATATACTCCAATCTGAACATTTAATTACGAGATATGTAGATAGTCTACGAAGCATTCCGTCCCTTATTCCATCTTCCAATATTATCTCTTTATTTCAATCTATATTCCTACAAGCCCGACCCTACCAGCAATGCCTCCATCCTTTCTAAAAGCTCCGTTATCCGTCCCTGTATTCGTCCCTTTATCCGCCCTTTATTCGTCCCTGTATCCGCCACTTTATCCGCCCCTTTATTCGTCCCTGTATCCGTCCCTTTATCCGCCCCTTCCGTCCCTGTATCCGTCCCTTTATCCCCCTTTTATTCGTCCCTGTATCCGTCACTTTATCCGCCCCTTTATTCGTCCCTGTATCCGTCCCTTTATCCGCCCCCCTATTCGTCCCTGTATCCATCCCTTTACCTGTCTCTTTATTTGCCCATACTTACTATGAGTCCCTTTATCCGTCCCTCTTGTATAAGTCTCTCAATCCGTCCCTCAATCTGTCCCTGTAACCGTCCCTGTAACCACCCCTTTATCCGTCTCTCTGTCCGTCCCTTCGTATCTCCATCTGTCTCTCTAGTCCTTTCTCCGTCCATCTTTCCGTCCATGCTTTCCCTTTTCCCTTTCTCTATCCTTAGGTCCTTTATTACCGAGGTTCATCCCTCTATCTAACAGAACATCTAGCTTTCCATCTATTTTGAAGCGTGTGCTCGATGTTTAGATATATATGGTTTGAATGGGTTAAGCAAGGTTTGTTTAGTATGCAGCTTGGGACAATGTTTTCATTGAAAAATTTCAAACCTGGCCTTTCCTAGGGACACATGTCTACTGGATTTATAACAGTCATTTTTCATTCTCATCCTAACTCTTTCTATCTCACTTACAAGTTCACATTCTATCTATCTATCTACCAACCTATAGTATACGTTTAAGATTTCTTTCAATTGTTGCTTTTTTTCACTCGCCTAATGTTTAATGAAATCTTTTTAACGATATGCTTTTAGTACCCCCAAGCTCCCCCCTTGCCCCCGCTCCTAATACCATATATTCTTACCACTAACTTGTACTACGCATTTAAACAAACAATTTCTCAACCGCAAACCGCAAAACGATGTTTTTAAGTAAAGCAAGATAAATGTGATAAATTGTAAAACTCAGATAAAATCTAAAAGATGAAGAAGATCGTATAAAAGTGTGAAAATTAGCATATTTTATTAATAAACAGGGTGTAACCAGATAGCTTGATGTTTGGTATATATATTGCTATCAAGGTACAAGGGATACAAGGTGTTCACTCAGGGATCCCCGCAGTTGTAATCTTAGTTTTTCGCTAAAAGAACTGAGATTTGTCACAAACTCCTGTTTTCTGATCCCTATATCTTTGTAATCTGATGGTGTAAACCTTTGATATTTCAAACTTAGACCATTTGATTTAACAGAATTCATTGTTTAAAAGATCCACACAGATATAGGGATAACAAATCAGAGTTTGTTGCAAAAAAATCAGTTTTTTGGTTAATTTTTCTGCAAAAAACAAAATTTTTAAGGCAGAAAACTAAATCCAGCCTTCAGATCGTCGTATTCAAGTCTCATTGTTTCTGGGTAACCCTGTAAACTCCGGAGAATTCTATACCCCGCATACACTGCTGTGTATATTGCATACCTATCAAATCAGGATTTTGCCAAGTACACTTTTAAATATATATAAATGCGCTTGAGAAACTTCTAAATCTTTCTATCCAAGACTACAAAAAATTATCCTATGATAACTAAACTAAAACTTCAAAGTCGGCCCGACAAAAATTAATTCGATGAACATATTTTTGGCATATTCTCAGATATATTCTTTGTCGCTGGTATAAACTTCATACATGTCCTATAACAATGCATTTAGTTTATATTTATATATATTTAATATGAAATTTAATGACAAATATTGAAGCGAATTTAATTATATTTAATATAAATATCGTAAACTAACTGACAGAAATATGAAGTAAACCTAATGCAGATTTACAGTTCACATTATCATTAAACTACCGAGAAATAAACGTTTTGAAAATATGTTTTAAATGTAGTAGGAAAAATCAGACATGCTGATTGGATAAACATATTTGTTGTGTGTCTTTTCTTTGTAAAAAAAAGACATTTTGTTACAAAAACCAATCTCTTAATTTTTAGCAAATATTGTTTTTATTATTGGGTTCGAAGTTCTTTGCGCTTAATTTGATCAATTACACTGTTTTAATCTGGAAAATATTGCAAATTCTACTCATTATGCATAAAATGACAGATACAAATATTTGCACACATGATGCAAATTCTAAGCATATATCATGATCAACACACAAAGAAAAGGAAACTCTTTATGTCGAGATTTTATCACAGAGATTCAGGTACAAATACGAACAGGAATTAATAAATATTTATGGCGTCATTTATGAATTATTAAATTCCCGTTCGGGGGTGAAAGGCACATAGATTAAACAGATCGGACGATTTACATGTTACTGTACTGGTTCAAATTCTAAAGATTTATACGCAAAGAGATTAGGTCGTTGCCACAAATTTTAATGTCGAAGACCTTGGATATTTGAAAATATGAATTCTGTAAAATCAAATAATCTAATATCAGGTTGAAAAGATATAAAGATTAAAAAATTTTTAGTTTGTGGCAAAGACTAAATTGCTTTCCTAAATATTTCCCTAGTATGGGTTGGTGAATGTGAAAGAACTATAGAGCTGTTCTCGTCCTATCTGTTTAAACTATGTTGAAAGGATTCAAATATCGAGACATGAATCCCTGAGATAGAAACTAATTGTATTTTATTCAATTTGTTGAGTGAAGGCTGGGACAGATGATGGTCAGATGTGAGAAGATTTAATTTTTAAATTTTAGGGTCTTTATAACCCCGGAGCAAGGTTTATCTTTCTCCACCTTCATTCAATTCTACCTGTTAATACAGGAACGGAGTCAAAACTATATAAATTAGAACTAGATTTAATTTAAAATATTGAAAGTATAAATCTAATCCATCGAAAAAATGTGAAAATTTTGTATGTCTCAAAAGGGGCCGATTCTTCCTCGATATTTGAACCTTAAAAGTATTCTCAGCATAATTTTTAATGACTCTAAATTGATGAAGAGGGATAGTAAAATAATTCAAACGTTATTTTGAGAAAGATCATACAAGTTTTGTTTGTTTGTTTGTTCACTTGTAAAACGTTTTTTATCAGTTTAATCATGAAAAAGTCAAAATAAATTACGTTGACAACCTCTGTATATATAATGGCACATGTGTATTGGAAACTGGGCACGGTTAGATTATTGGCAGAAAATGCACGAGTAGAGTTTATTCTTTGCCAGGATGAAATATCTTGAATTTGGGAGGAATAAGGACTAGGTTAGGTATAGGGTGGAATGTATGATGAAAATGGAAGTAATGATGAGTAAAGAAGAAGGGTATATGAGATGGGTATGGATCAGTATATGAGATGGGTATGGATAAGTATAGGATATGGGTCTGGATAAGTATAGGATATGGGTTTAGATTAGTATAGAAGATGGGTATGGATCAGTATAGGAAATGGGTATGGATGAGTATAGAAGATGGATATGGATGAGTATAGGATATGGGTATGGATAAGTATAGGATATGGGTCTGGATGAGTATAGGATATGGGTATGGATGAGTATAGAAGATGGGTATGGATCAGTATAGGAGATGGGTATGGATGAGTATAGAAGATGGGTATGGATGAGTATAGGATATGGGTATGGATGAGTATAGAAGATGGGTATGGATCAGTATAGGAGATGGGTATGGATGAGTATAGGAGATGGGTATGGATAAGTATAGGAGATGGGTATGGATGAGTATAAGAGATGGGTATGGATGAGTATAGGATATGGGTATGAATGAGTACAGTGGATGGGTATGGATGAGTATAGGAGATGGGTATGGATGAGTATAAGAGATGGGTATGGATGATGTAGGAGCGGGTTGGTTTCAACTGCCAGAAAATGACTTGTCTACATGACTAGGAGTAAATATAAAATTCATCAGCCAGTATCATCTCACAGTACTATACTAGTTCTCACTATATATATTCCACTCACGGAACTTTTGTAAATTGTTTTGAAACCTGGTCTTCCTCAACCCAGAATACTATTTGAGAATGACGGGTAATATTTCTAATTTATGAACCGACCACTGCAAGTTTAAAAGGTTCTTTAAGTATTCAGGTTCCTGGGAATAACTCTCCTCAAAGCTTCATTACAGATTACATTTTAGAGCAGTCTCACTCAACTGCTCCTTTTAAACAGCTGATCAGAAGCTTTTTTTCAGGCTTAATAGAATCAGTTTTTTGAGCAGTCCCGCAGCTACTGGAGAAAGTCTTCTATCATAGTAGTTGCTCACATAAAGGTTTCTTGAGACTAACATGCTCGGCTCCTTTGATGGGAAGACGATTGATGGTGTAGTAGTTAATCATATGTGGTATACTAGTGAAGGGACGACTAAACTGTCCTAGGATATATTGGTTTCCATTCGTCTGCTGTATACGCATATGCATAAACCCATGCCTGCTCCTGCAAATAGACAACACTTTAGGTAATTAGTTACAGGGGTTTAAACCACAACTAGATGGCACACTGGACAATTGAGATTTTATTTGAGGTTTTACAGTCTTTAGGGAGAAAAAGAACACCTTTTGTGAGCTTATAAATTCAATTCGAAACATTTTATTTTTATACATTTTTAAGTTTACAAATATATTTCAGAGGTTGAGAGGTATTTAACAGATTCATTAAAAAATGGGCATTATTTGAATGGAAGGTTTAAGTGGAATTGTAGAAACATTAAATACATATTTGCAAACTCAGTTAAGATAAAACAAACATCTTGAATACTAAACTAAAGTTTACTCCCACACGTGCATGCTTACGCGCATAACCACATACGAACGCGCGCAACACACATTCGAGAACACCCAGGAAGAGACGTGAACGTTTGTAAAAAAGTGACAGGAAAACATGAAAGATTCACCGGACAGGAAAATAGTCAGCTTATCAATGCAAGAATACCTTAAAATCTCTAAAAATAATTTCCCAAGGTTTCCTGGGAACCAGCAAGTTATCGGCATATTTTAAAGTTATTGCTGATTTTTGATGGTTACGAACAAACTTTAGAGTTGATATAAAAATGTAGGAGGGTTAATATTTAAAAAAAATAAAAGAGTTATTTTGATAAAATTTTAAAAAGTTTATTTTTAGAATATATATAAAAATAGACGTATTTAAACAATCATGAATTTCATGAGTTCGGTTTATTTGATATTTGATATTTGCAAATGTATAGTTTAATGAGTTCCAGAGGGTTTGGAGAATAGGTTTGAGATCATCTGATTGTATGCTTGATTTGATCCCTACATTACCACCCAGTACACCACGCAATATACAACCATATATATATTTAACCAACAATACAGTACTTTTAACCAATCAAATTAGAAAGGAGGACGGTGCGACAAGACTGTAGAATCTTATACTGCAGAATTTTTTAAAGAGGTTTAAATGTTCATGTTTTCATGTATTTTTTTAAAAACAGAGATGGATTATATTTTTACTCTCCACACGACCTTTTCAAGCTTGCTTGAAACCCCCTTAACCCCCATACTATGAACCTCTTACTCACAAAGTGACCCTGGGTAAAGTTTGTAAATGTTGTACAATAACAGATTTGTGCATAACATGTACAGCTGGTGTATAAAGATAATTGTAAATTCAATCATAACTATGTTTGGGAGTGGGGGGGGGGGATATTTATAAAAAACTGCCATGAGCAACCTCAAATTTAAATATTGTTTAAAATGACTGCCTACGTACTAAGATTTGCATAATACACGCAGTGGATGCAAGCTTGCTCATACATTTAAATATGAAGATGTTTAAACGTTGTTAAAATGATATAAAACATGAACTATTCAATGCATCCCGGATAATCTTATTCCATTATGATAAAGGAAGGTAGAACCAGTAGCTTGGTCAAGCTTAGAGGAACCGTGCATAACAAGGAAATAAAATCTAAACCCTTTAATCGTAAACATTTCCTGCGCCTGAATGAAATGTTTAAAACTTCTACTTAACTACAGTTGTAATCAAAAATCAAGCGCAATGATTTTCGTACCCCCCCCCCACACCCCTTAGAATTTTTCACAAGTTAAAAAAATTATTAAAACTAAGACCAAATACGACAGCCTTTATACTAACTATCTATTTTATAGTTTGACAATGTTCCTGCACAAAAAAATAACACCTCACATGAATGTCTAATGTTTAGTAGGTTAAAAGCAGTTAGGATTCCAATCGTTTAAACCACACAATTTCAAACAAATAGATTTTAACATGCAATACCAAGCAACAGGTTTGGACATACTTGTTTGAAATGGGCTTGTTTAAAATGGGCTTGTTTGAAAAAAACAGTTAAAAAATATTTGTACTAAATAGATACATTACACTTTTCATCTAATGTTGCTTGATCACCTAATGTAGAGATTTTCCGAGGCGCATGTTTAATTTTGTTTTTACACGGTTACCAATAAAGGATGAGTCTTTAGAATTTATTCTCGATTTTCTTCAACTGTAAACTTGCTTTTTTTCTTTGCCAAATCATTAAATAAGCAATTAGACTACTATATCTAAGGCAGAATACATAGGGATTGTCACATTCTAAGAGTTTTCGGTCGTTTTTACAGTCAAAACCTTTGTGGGTAACCCTGTATATCTATATTTATATAATAAAGCTCTTCGCTCATATATTTGTTTGTATGTTATCTACAGCATGTCAAACGACAGGACCGATTGGGCTGACATTTTTTTTGAGGAAACTCATGGGTACCCTTGGAAATTTAATTCGGAAACTTTTTAAAAAATAGGTCAGAAAGCCCATTAATTTGTTTCCGTAGTTCAAATAGATCGGGTTACATAACACTTTTTACAACAACGATAGAAAACTTACGCTAGTAAATGGACACCAAACAAATAAATGAAAAAAACTTACTTGAGGGAAAGGGAATAATCCTTATTCGCAGATTCACAGTTTCTGACGAGATACGATCCTGGAGGTTCAAGTCTTAGAGCAGACTCAGCCTCAGTCCTGCTCACGTTTCCGTGATACCATCTGAACAAATCAAACTTGATCTTCCTGTAGCGATAGGGAAAATGATGATGTTTTTAAATATACACAAAATATTTTTGGTTTGTCTGTCTGTTGGCTTGTAACAAAAAGCACGTTAAGTCTGTTGAACCATTTGAGCTAAAAATTCAATGTTGGTAACAGGTGGTGGTTTGTGTCTTGTTTCTATTGTGCAATCAATCGTTGTGTCAAGAACATGCAAACTAACCCAAAAAGTCTGAAAATTCTTCACAAATATTTTTGTTTAATTGAATTGTGTGCATAACATGAACATAACGCCCTAAATATATAAAACTTTAAATGCCCTAAATTTTCGACACAGTTGTCAAAAATATATGTTCATTTCTGTCTGAAACAAGCCCTTAAAAACCTAATAGTGTAATTTAGTCCTGTAAAACTGAATTAAATTTTGCTTTTAAGAATAGGTTCGCAAAATGTTTTGTTCTACAACGTTTGGCTCTTAAAACTTTTAAAATATGTATACATGTGATAATGTATAGTTTATATACTAACAAAAACAGCCTCTCGAAAGAGCTAAACATACATCTATTTATTATACAACAATAAATTTTATAATAATTATCAACCTTGAGCTCCGTGATTTTCAATTTTGTTTAATAGCATGGATCGGCCTACAGGCATACAAATATCACTTTTACCGACAGCATAGATGAGCAATAAATTCTAGATAATGGACATTTTATTTTAATAATGGAATAATGTATAAAATAGAGGAACACAATCAACAGTATATTATATTTTACAAACAAAGAGAAGTCACTTTTGAGCAAGATTTGATCCGAGAGTCTGTGTCCTAGAACAATGTTTATTTGCGGAAATATATGTTGTATAATTTATGTAATGAGCCCGAAACTTAAGATTTACGCAAATGAATAGGCTCCAAAAAGGAAACAACGATACTCTCTTTAAATTCCGGCTCTGAAGAGCTAGGTGAGTATGTACTGCAAGTGTTTATGTTCTGTGTGGTACACATATTACAATCAAATGGATCTCTGTTTGTACAATGTACATTGTACATGTACTTGATTGTATAAACTGGAGCTACAACTACATTGAGGTAATAAAACCATTGTGTACTTACGGCTCAATTTAAGTACTAACGTTAAAAAAGTACTTTATTTTTGTATAAGTACAACAACTCTGTACATAGATGTTTACAAAGCTTTATGTATCCTGTGGTTATGTGTTCAAATATATATATATATATATATATATATATATATATATATATATATATATATATATAATATAATATATTGAGGACTAGGTTGAGTTATCACACATATGGTGTTGATATCTCCAACGAGGTGGCAGGTTTCATTAAGATAAATCCATAAACGGAGATGAAAACCTGCCGGTCAATCCTATTCAAGGACAAATAAGATGAGGAAGAGAGGGGGGGGGGTAATTGCGTCTGTCAAATATATTTTTTGTTGTTTTTGTGTAAGATTTTTTACGCAATTTCTAATCAATGTTGTAAATCGAAATTTTATAGGAAATACAAATTGGTTCAATTAATTTCTCCTCCAGACATGCTTTATGTTTGTTGTAAAATTTCGGGGTCAAGGTGTTAGAATAGTATAGGAGGAGAGGAGGGGTGCGAGGGTGGAGAAGGAAAAGGAGACGTAAGGGCGAGGAGGATTTGAATTAGGTATAGAGGGGGGGGGAGAAATAATGTGTTGAGGGAAGGGTATAGGGAGGGAGATTGTAAGGGAAGGAACAAGGTGGAGAGGAAAGGAGGGAGATGGAGAGGGAATGGAAGAGGCGTAGAAGGATGAAGGGAGGGGGAGAGGGAAGGTGGGAGGTGGAGAAGGATGAAGGGTGATGGAAAGAGAAGGAGGGAAGTGGAGAGGGAAGGTGAAGAGGAAAGGAAGGAGGTGGAGAGGGAATAAGGAAGAAGGAAGCTGGAAAACGAAGGGTAGTGGGGGTTACCTTACAGGCTTTTTCTGTTTCCAGATCTGGAGTTTATTGGAAAATAAAATTTTATTATCTTGAAATAACGTTAAAATAATTTGCAAACATTTTTTCACAGTATAAGGTTAGTGCCTCAATTTGTAGGAATTAGTTGGAATTAAAGAATTATGAAAACCTTATAGACCATAAATGGTATAATAAATCCCTCCCTAGGACCTAATCAGGACAATAGAGATACTATTTGCTTCCCGACACAGCCTTTTTTACTTATACTAGGCTTTTAGGGCGCTTCGCGCCCATCTTCTATTTAAATTGTGAACATATTCTTTTTGTTTACATTTAAAAACAAATAAGAAAAAAATTTTGCGGATTTTTAAAAAAAAAATTTTGCGGATTTAAAAAAAAAAATTCGCGGATTTTCAAGAATTTAAATTTTTTTACAAAATTAAAAACCTTTAAAACACATTTTTTGTTAAATTTTTATCATTCATAAACCTTCCCTGTGGTCAGCCGTTTTGACGTTTATTGGATACAAACAAACAGACAAATAAGCACCCAGACATGCCAAATTTATATATAGATGTTAGCTATAGCTGGGCAAACGGCTGGACCAAATTGGCATTTTTTTAGGAAACCCACAATCTTTAAGGATCAAAATAAATAGACAAGCATACAGTCAACTGAACCCAAGGACAATTAGACAATTTACCCTGGACCACTAGACAGCTAGACAGACAGCTGAATAGAAAGATTGCAAGACAGATAAAGAGAATTGAAAGTGGTTTTAAGAATGACAAGAAAGAATAGAAGAATCTATTAAAAGAATGAGAAATCTATCTTTACAATCTGTTACATGCATTTAAACCATTCAAACTTCTAAATATCATTCTCTTGTCTTGAGTAAGCAATGTATTGGAACATAGTCTTAGACAGGGGTATTGTGTTGTATACATTCGTTAAATATAACATAGAACAATTAGAAGAGAGAAGAGAACAAATGAAAAAATATTTGTCCGCAAGGAACGAGAGAAATGAAAAACAGAGAACGAATTTGAGAAAATTATTAGTTCTTACTCTTGTTGATGTAGTTGTATTGAAGGATCCACAAGTTCTAAATCATTTCTTGATATCTCTAATGGTATCCCTCCAGGAATACTGCCACATTTTTCTAAAAAAAACCGAAAATGAATAAAAAATGCTTTTGTATTTAGATTAAATAAGTTTGAACGTTTTCTCACCTTGTACGTTAACCTCCAGGGTTTGATAAGGTTTAGATGAGAAGTGAGGATTACTGGTTGAGAACTTGGAGAGATGACTCCGGGTTTTTCCGGTCATTTTAATGTAGTGCTCTTGAGACTGCAAAGATACTTTCTCTCTATTTCCGTCCTTACTCAGCCCTTTCTCCCGAACCCGAGTAGTTTCTCTCCTACTCATCTCACTACCCTGATCACTATCTCTGCTAGTAGTTGTATCCCTGCTAGTATTGGTTTCCCTGCTCCCCCCTGACTCTAGACTAGATAGAGCAGAACTACACGAACTTACTCCGCTCTTCAGACAGGATTCACATACTGCTCGAACCCTTGAAATAGTTATTTATCATTATCTGATAAAAAAAATGTTTTTTTTGAATAGCTGGAGTTGTGATTAGGTTTAACAATAAATAAAAGAATAAAATAATGACACTCTTTTAATGCTGGGTCTCTTGAATTTACACTTAAAGTCCCTTTATTCGAATATGGTTTATTTTGACCCGTTTGAAAATGAAGAATAACGACGCTTTAAATAATTAAAAGGTCGGAGACGTCTCAGCACGAAACCTAGTGTAGGGTCAGCAATGTCGGAGAGTTTAATAAAACCTAGTTATGTGGGCATGCAATCAGACTCTTACACCACGGTATTATAGTCATGAATCGAATTATGAGTTTTTCTATACTTTCATTCCTAAGATTAAAAAATCATTCGTAAAAAATAATTTCAAAGAAGGTGTTCCATTTCAGTATTTTGTTCAGAATTGAAGAGGGATACCAAACAAGGTTCTAACTTCTAACGGTTTCGATGAATGATGATTAATATTAAAGAAAGTATATAGTCGGTTCCAGGGATAATTTTAATTTAAATATTCAAATATAAAATATTGGAAATCTCCGCTCCTTCATTTCTTCGAATAGTTAGAGCTGACACATGGACCTAAACCTGAGCCTAAACAAAGACCAGATCTAAAACTAAATATAGATATAAACCTGGACCTAAAGCTAAACCTAAATCAATGTGTATGAGTGAGTATATGTATGTGTGTGTGTGAATGTTACCTGCACGAATCTCTCCAAACGTATGTATCCGTGTCACGCTCACATTGTGAGGTCGGGGATGAATCTAAGGAGGATGGTTCCAATACAACTAATCCTTCCAGAGAATTTGATTCCTCCGCTGAGGAGGATTCTATCAAATCCGAGGATTTAGTTCTTCCTCCCCGGGCTCCGGCCAGCGCTCTGTCGAACGTGTTTCCGACAAATCTCTCGAATCCCTCTAGATCCAGGTGAGCTAATCTGGTGGTTGCGGAGAGAAACTCCGTCGGAGAAAATTGGATAGAGACGCTCTTATCTGTAGTACCAGGACTGTAGTAATCACTATAAGGGTCCGTACATGTTAAAGAAGTATCTACACATGAATATGTGGAATTAACACAGGCCCCGTTTGGATCAACACAAGGATGGGACGGTTCCAATCCTGTCTCTCCAGACTCCTCCAGATACAGCCAATTCCAAACCTCCTTCTGCGAGTATCCTGTTTTCTCATGCTGATCCTCCGACCGGTTTCGGGATTTTACACGTTTAATGCCCTGATATTTTAAAGGAACTTTACTTTTCTTCAGAGGAGGGTTTCTCTGAATATTTCTTTGTTTTTCACCGGAGTCGTCTCCGTTCTTGTCCGGTACGTTTATTGTCACTTTATGAAAGTATAGATTTTCGTACGGAGGCTCCGTCCAGATAGGTTTAGCAGAGTTTGGTTTTCCTTTGTATGTACAAGGAACTGATGGATCAACGACGACCTTCTGATTACAGGAGGCGGAGGAGCAGTGCCCCGCCCTAAACCAACATTTAGATTAAACAGATATCAGAATTAATTACCCTAATTACATAGATACCATACGCTTAATTAGGACATAACCAGGATTAAATTAACCAATTTAGCAACTGTTTTCGACATGATATTGACTTAATGTTAAGAGTGAAAAGTATTGATCATGTATCCAATTCTTTGATTAATGAATGATTAATCTCTAACGTGCAATTTTAAACTAATTGGTCGTAATGTATTCTAAACATGAAACCTAATTAAACAGCCCTCATCAATTACCACCCTATGATTAATTATTATGTGCAGTGTATAAAAGTATAAAGCCTTGAAGCTTGTATGCAAGGAATGCGCGTATAAAATATTTAATTTAAACCTGCTGGAATCTGATCTTGACAAACAAAACTTTACCTTTTGGTGATAAATCCCTAATCTTAGCCTTTCTACTAAAACCAGCGAAAAAAACTTTAAGTAGAATACATTTTAGATCAATCTATTTTTTCTGTCGAATACAAATTTATACATTTGTTCAAAAAAAGGGTTTTAGATTTGGACAAAAAGTTAAGATAAGCAATACAACAGATACACATCATTCGTCAATCACCAAGTTGTCTTTAATTTACGGTGCGTTAAGAATACAGTAATTAAAAGATTTAGACTTCATCTTTAAGACACTTACTCAGGAGAGATCCCTGCCATATTCCACTCTTTCCAGGCTAAACTAATTAAGAAAAACTATCGAGCCGCAAACTTCTGAAGAACATTTAAAAAAATGTAAATATTGTTTCCTAGCGGGTGAAGGACAAACAGAGATGACGGTAACACAGGCTGAACAATCATGCTCCCGACTAATCATTAATTCATCAATTAAAATATAAACAGAGAAACCTAGTTCTTATCACAAACTCTGATTTTATGATCCGTATATATTTTTAACGGCGAACCTTTGATACTTCGAACTATGAATTCTGTTATATCAAATAGTTTAAGTTTGAAATATCGAAGGTTTACACCACCATGTTGCAAAGATATAGAGATTAGAAAATAAGAGTTTGTGGTAAGAACTTGGTTTTTTTTTCTTTTAAATGCAAGAAGAAGTCAAAATAACTATTGGGGACGTTAGGATTGTAAAAAGACTTTGTTTTGTTTACACGTTCATAATTTGCAATATATCATTGTGAATGTTTAGTAAATGATATTTTTGCTTTTTTTCAAGTTTTCTTGAACTCCCCCGTATCTAATTACTAGGTATTAAATTTGAATAAACTAAGATAATCTGCATAATAGATGAATATATTCCTGTTATTGTTCCTAGATGGACTACTCGGCATCTCTTCATATTCACTTTCATTGTCTACTCCACTCTCCAGTAGGTCTGAATATATAAAATACATAAATATCACGGGGCAAGGTTGAATTAATATTTTTTTAAAACCATTTTCATATTTGAAAAATTCTTGTTTTAAAAATTAAACATCATGTTCTTAAATATTATAATTTTACAGAACCGTTCATTACGTAGGCCTTGCATATTTGATACAATGGTCAACTACTAGTTGTAACATAAGATAAAGAATCAGCCAAGATATGATCATCTAAAATTTAAAAGAATCAGAATAAAATGATGTAGGTATGATTATATCTTTAAAATCAAATCTAAAAGATGCTGAATAAAGTAGGAAATGGAACGAATTGGATCAGAATTGATTCGAGAAAATTTGAAACTGAAACTACATGGAATCTAAGTATGTTCATGAAATCGTGCCGGTTTCTCTATCTTCGTGTAAATATTAGAAGTTTTCAAGCCTGAAAATAAGTTTAATTTAACATTATTACATATAAATTACAGATGTAGAGTAGGTTAGAAAGACAAGGTGGATGGTTTTCGTGATTCTTAATCTTGTTGTTTTTGGTTCTTCTAGTTCTTCTCGTTTTTCTAAATAGTTATTCAGTTTTTCTTGTTTTTCTAGTTCTTCTAATTCTCCTAGTTCTCCTATTTATTCTAGTTCTCCTACCTCTCCTAGCACTACTAGTTCACCTATTAATTCTTGTTCTCCTAGTTTTCCTAGTTCTCCTATTTATTCTAGTTCTCCTAGTTCTCCTAGTTCTCCTAGCTCTCCTAGTTCTCCTAGTTCTCCTATTTATTCTATATCTCCTAGCTCACCCTGCTTTCCTAGTTCTTCTATTTATTCTAGTTCTCCTAGCTCTACTAGTTCTCCAAGCTCTCCTATTTATTCTAGATCTCCTAGCTCACCCTGCTTTCCTAGTTCTTCTATTTATTCTAGTTCTCCTAGCTCACCCTGCTTTCCTAGTTCTTCTATTTATTCTAGTTCTCCTAGCTCTACTAGTTCTCCTAGCTCTCCTAGCTCCCCTAGTTCTCCTACTTTTCTAGTACTCTTGGTTCCCATTATTATTTTAATCTGGTTATTCTGGTTCTCTGAGTTCTTTATCCTGGTTATCCTAGTTCTCAAAGTACCCCTTGTCTCCTTGTTTTCCTAGTTTGCCTAGTTCTCGTATTTCTTCTAGTTCTTCAGGTTTTATGGTAGATATAAACTAGTGTGAGTATATGTACAGTGAAGTGCACCTAGATCTATATAAATCCATTAACCTTGGGCTTCCATTCAAACACTGTTATTTTCTTCCGCTAAGTAGCACTAAAACAACAATTCAGCCCCCCCTTCCCTCCATCCCTTTCACATTCAGCCCAACCAACTGAATACTCGCTAAATAGCAGTTCTTAGTTTCCTAAATATATTTATTTACCTTGTTAGATTTGAAAAGAATATTACAAAGTACTGAATAGAGTTTTCAGAAATATTTGAAAAGTAAAAACAAGTTGACGCTGAGATTATATCTCATCATAAGGGTTAAATATATATGTACACAAACCCATGATACATTCCACACTTGAAGAGAAGATCAAATAGGAGAAGATTAGATAAATGGACGAAAAGGAGTATATTAAATTAAGTAGATAAGATAAGGTGTTGAAAGATTACATAGAAGTAGATGGAATGAAGTAGTTATATATGAGATGGAGTAGACAGCACGGATTGGAATAAAACTAGAGAAGGTTGAGTGGAGTAAAGAATACGGATTGGATTAAAGATAAGGTTGAATAGAAAGAATAAGGGATGGAGTAGAGAGAAGGTTGAGTTTGGTAAAGAATACGGGTTGGAGTAAAAAGAAGGTTGAGTGGAGTAAAGAATACGGGGTGGAGAAAAGAGAAGGTTGAAAAGAGTAAAGAATACGAGTTGGAGTAAAGGTTGAGTAGGCGGAGTAAAATAAAGAATACGGGTTGGAGTAAAGAGAAGGTTTGGTGTAGTAGAGAATACGGATCGGAGTATAAAGAGAAGGTTGAGTGAAAGAATACGGGTTGGAATAAAAATAAGGTTGAGTGGAGTAAAGAATACGGTGTGGAGTAAAGAGAAGGTTGAAAAGAGTAAAGAATACGGGTTGGAATAAAAAGAAGGTTGAGTGGAGTAAAGAATACGGGGTGGAGTAAAGAGAAGGTTGAAAAGAGTAAAGAAAACGGGATGGAGTACAGAGAAGGTTGAGTGGAATAAAGAATACGAGTTGGAGTAAAGGTTGAGTAGGCGGAGTAAAGTAAAGAATACGGGTTGGAGTAAAGAGAAGGTTTGGTGTAGTAGAGAATACGGATTGGAGTATAAAGAGAAGGTTGAGTGAAAGAATACGGGTTGGAATAAAAAGAAGGTTGAGTGGAGTAAAGAATACGGGGTGGAGTAAAGAGAAGGTTGAAAAGAGTAAAGAAAACGGGATTGGAGTACAAAGAGAAGGTTGAGTGGAGTAAAGAATACGGGGTTGAGTAAAGAGAAGGTTGAATAGAGTAAAGAATATGGAGTGGAGTAAAAAGAAGGTTGAGTGGAGTAAAGAATACGTGATGGAGTAGAGGTTGAGAAGGTTGGAATATAGGTTTTCAGACTGTTGTAAAATATGCCTGTATTTCCAAATCTTATCTTTACTATAGATCAGATCATTAAATTAATTAAGTACATTAAAGTTTTTCGACCCATATAAAGTTAAGTAAATGCATGAATGAATGAATTCAAACAGATGAATTGAAATATTTAGAATAAATATTTAGCAAGACAACGGCAAGAAAATGTTAAAGAACCGCTAATTTTAACGCCAACATAAAGATATCCAAGCAGAAAGGACCATTTAACATAAGCAATCCTATAATTGCAACAGTAGACAGCTTTAGCAATTCAAGGCAATAAAATTATACACCCACTTCTTTACATAGACTTAAACCAGGCCCAGCTAGACAATAGAATCCTGTTCTGTAGATTTGGATTCGAATTTAGAAACAGATTCAGATCTAGATACAGATTCAGATGCAGATTTAGATACAGAATAGTATACAGATTTCTTCAGATTCAGATTTCTTCAAATCCTAATTTTTTAGATCCTAATTTCTTCAGATCCTCATATTGACTGGGATCCATACTCCGTTACAGATACAGACTTGAATTTGCGAAAATTATTGAGTTTTCGTACAAATGTGACAATTTGGGCTTTAATAAACAATATCCGAATTTTTTTTTAAACTGCTTTTCAATGTCCAGATTGTAAGCGATTCAAAAAATTAAAGATATTGAACAAAAATTCATTAAACCTATTTGTATCTCAAACTCTCATCATAAATATAATATCGAGTTAGTTTGTGAGTTTTTGGTTAAAATAAAAAGTAAAAAAAAATCCCTTCGCAACTTTATGTCGTAGATCTTTGATATTTCAACCTATAAATAGTTAAAGTTTGAAATATCAATGGTTTCGATGCGATTTTGATTGCGATATTGATTTTAAATACTGTTAGAGAGTTTATACAACAGAATTTACTCCGCCACTCACTTCTATTTGTTAACATTTATTCAAATTATTTTACGCAATACTTTTCACGCTATATTTGTATCTATCTATCTATAAATCTAGTCTAAACGTTCCAGTTTGATATCTACAGATTTATTCACAGATTATATGCAAATTACTGTGTGCATTTAGAATAATAATTTGATTTAGAAGCGAACATAGTGCCAACTAGTAGTTTAGAGGGCGTAGACTTGTACTCAGACCAGACGTGGTAGTTTAGCAACTGTGTACACTTCAGTGTACAGCACCTGCTTAGGTTTTTTAACTGTACAGCCATATGTACTGTGGTATTGGAACTATATATATCATGTACTCGGACCAGACGTGGTAGTTTAGGAACTGGAACTTTTAAGTTAAAGGAACTGTACACTTCAATGTACAGCACCTGCTTAGGCTTTTTAGCTGTACAGCCATATTTACTGCGGTATTTAAACTATATATATATCATGTACTCGGATGTTGTAACTGTACACTGTACAAACTCTGTTCAGGTTTTGTAACTCTACCGCCTGTTCTACGGTTTTGTAACTCTACAGCCTGTTCTACGGTTTCGTAACTCTACAGCCTGTACTACGGTTTTGTAACCTTACAGCATGTACTACGGTTTTGTAACTTTTCAGCATGTACTACGGTTTTGTAACTCTACAGCATGTACTACGGTTTTTGTAACTCTACAGCCTGTACTACGGTTTTGTAACCTTACAGCTTGTACTACGGTTTTGTAACTCTACAGTCAGTACTACGGTTTTGTAACTCTACAGCCTGTACTACGGTTTTGTAACTCTACAGCTTGTACTACAGTTTTGTAACTCAACAGCATGTACAACGGTTTTGTAACTCTACAGCGTGTACTACGGTTTTGTAACTCTACAGCATGTACTACGGTTTTGTAACTCTACAGCATGTACTACGGTTTTGTAACTCTATAGCATGTACAACGGTTTTGTAACCCTACAGCGTGTACTACGGTTTTGTAACTCAACAGCATGTACAACGGTTTTGTAAACCTACAGCATGTACTACGGTTTTGGAACTCTACAGCATGTACTACGGTTTTGTAACCCTACAGCCTGTACTACGGTTTTGTAACTCTACAGCCTGTACTACGGTTTTGGAACTCTACAGCCTGTACTACGGTTTTGGAACTCTACTGTCTGTACTACGGTTTTGGAACTCTACTGTCTGTACTAGGGTTTTGTAACCCTACAGTCTGTACTACGGTTTTGGAACTCTACAACCTAATACGGTTTTGGAACTCTACAGCCTGTACTACGGTTTTGGAACTCTACTGTCTGTACTACGGTTTTGGAACTCTACTGTCTGTACTAGGGTTTTGAAACTCTACTGTCTGTACTACGATTTTGGAACTCTACAGGTTGTACTACGGTTTTGGAACTCTACAGCCTACTACGGTTTTGGAACTCTACAGCCTGTACTACGGTTTTGGAACTCTACAGTCTGTACTACGGTTTTGGAACTCTACAGCCTACTACGGTTTTTACAGCGTTTACTTCGTAAACAGTAGAGTGTTGCGTGTTTGAAAGTAAAGATTAGAATAACCGCAAAATGTACAAAAGTATTTTTATATGCTGTAAATGTAAAGTGATTTTAATCTATTTGTAAAAACATACTTAGTTCGGCAAAAAGAAGGCTTGCATTTAGAGACAGTCATGCTCGTAAAAATAGTTTAATGATTATCATAAGATTTACAAGTACCACGTGATTTTGCGTATTTGATTTAGACACCACAACTTTATATAATATGATGTATAATGTATCTAGTACTACTATCAATGCTATTACTATAGATTAAATATAGAAATAACTCTCTGATTCTTCTGTTTGTGTTTTTCCTTCTCTATAATAGAGAATTTGTAAAAAGGGACTAAAATATATCCCTGGCTATCAAGTCTGCCAGATGCGAAAAATATATTTTTATATAATGATTATCTAAATTTAAAAAGATTTGCTTGCAGAAAATAAATGATTTAAACTTATTTAAATTTAACTTTAACAACAAAAATGATCTAGATATAACTGTTTATACTGTGTGCCCGATGAAATTACCACCTCTCGCCCATTTGAATAAATTTATATCGAAATAAAACATTTAACAACCCGATAATGGTTCCATTTGAATTAGGATTGGAGAGGGGAGGAATGTAAACATTGGAATTTTACACATTTTGCTAGATTTAACTCCCACTCAACCCTTAAGCTTTAAAATCTAGCTTCGTAAAATTTACTTTGCATCATTGTTAAAAGACCTTCGAAGAACTTAGAAGAATATCTTTTTTTTCTTCAGTAATCTTATACTCTAAACCCGTCTCCACGGTAATTTAGAGGTCATGTTTAGTAATTCTTAACTTTAAAACCCATTTTTATCCATTAAATGTAGATTTTTCGTATTTGCTTTATAAAACTTTTTTTGTTGGGCTATATATATCAGATATTTAAGAATATAGGATATTTCTTACTTTTTGACAGATTTTGAATGAGATAAAAAAGTTGACTGGATATATTTTAATATATGCAGAATGTTTTCAGTAAGGTTTACGTGTCTTTATACTAATTGTTACTGTCCCTTTTACCCCTGAAAACCATCTCCAACTGTATCCCCTCAACACCTAAATATTAGGACTGCTGTAGTCGAACAAAAATGATGTATCGGGCAATCAGTCCGTGGGAGGGGGAAAGGTCGAATATTGAACCAAAATTGTATCCAAGCCGTCCATCTTTATTCCATTCCAATTCAATGGGAACCCGCATTTGGCAAGTGTACACGCGTACAGTGCCACGCAGCTTATTCTCATTGCAACAGAAACAGCATTTAAATATCAGGCAAAAACAGTTTTACAAATTCAATTTTATCTTTCAGGGAAACAAAGGAATCAAAATTATATTCGAAGAACGTACAGATGTACTTCTCTTTAAACCATCAAGACTGTATAGGCCCACGCTAAACTAGGTAAACGTACAGATGTACTTCTCTTTAAACCATCAAGACTGTAAAGGCCCACGCTAAACTAGGTAAAGCAAATTTGATCACTTTGATCCCTCATCTGATCTCAGTATTTAGCTTTAAGCGAGATGCCCTGCAATTACGCAAAGTAAAATAAGTCAAAACCTCATTGTAAGGGACAAAGGAATTGAGTGATAAATTTAAATTTCTAATCCATATGTTTGCAATCTGGTTGTGTAAACCTTTGCTATTTCAGATTATTTGATCAAACAGAATTCATAGTTTGAAATATCTCAGGTTCAAACATTAGGTTGAAAATATATATGAATTTGAACAATTAGATTTGCGTGGGTTAAACAACACTGTCGACACTTGAATAATGTTTCATATACCAATCAGAAAACTTAATTAAGAAGCTTATAAAACAGTCCGACTCAATCCAAATTCTATCCAAGGCGTGCCGAAACAATTTTTTAAAACAACTTTTCAGGAAAGTTAAAATTGTTTATTTCGAAAGCATTTTGAAGAATTTGAACAGATCGTTTCCATTCTTTGAATCTGACAAACCGAATGGATTGAAATTAAACCAATTCAAATTCAACAATAAGATCTAAATCTCAACACTAAAAACAATCTTTTGTTGAAACCCTCCTCTTTTTCAACAACAAATTCAGCCATGGTAAATAAGCCAGATTGAATAATAGTTGGAACGCCCCCTGAACAAGGGGAGTGGCAATTATATAAACATCAAGTAACCCAGTAGATGATGGTGGGCACGTGAGAAGACAACTGATTAGGTCTATTGTTTTCTGATTTTACTTCTAATGATTAAATAAATACAAATTTAAAACTATTGATGTAAGAGACATGTTCACTAGATTCTATAACGAAGCTAAATTAAGTAAAATATATTCAGCGTGGGGGTATCAATTAAATAAGATCATCTATATATATACTTTGCTTGTCTGTCTGTCTGTATGTTTGAATCCAATTAACGTCAGAACGGCTGAACCGATCGGGGCCAAATATTGTGTGGGACCTCTCATGACGCCAGGGAAGAATGACGCCAGGGAAGAATGATGAATGGATGAAAGTGGATTAGATGGAGTTGATATAAGAACTGAAGAGAACGAGAACCTGAATTTTCCTCCAGTTTTAGGTTTAGGTTGGAGAAGAGTACTAGTACCGCTGTATATAATTCTTCTAAATATGGGATGGAAGCCTGGTTCTTATAGTAATCCTAGCCCGATCTATCAGAAACAGATTCAAATTGCAAATCTGGTTTTTGCAAATCTTCATCCCACATAATTCTGTTGAAAAGAGTTCTCAACAAAAACTTTCATCGTTTAATTTTGCAAACAGTTAAGGATAGATTTCCCTGATGTGACTCTTTGATAATATTGCGCTACCTAACAATCTGTATTTGGATATCGACCATTGTAATGCTTGTCTGTGCTATAAAATCCGCAGGTTTAAAGAACCCGTTAGTTGACAATTTTGAGAATGAAACACAAAAAAACGAGACTCAAGGTTAATTTGAGACTTCTGAATTAAAGGAATTGAGACTTTGTCACAAACTCAAATTTTCTTATCCCTATATCTTTGCAATTTGTTATTTGATATTTCAAACTTAGATTATTTGATCTAACAGAAGTAATAGTTTGAAAAATCTAAGGTCTACGTGATTGGGTTGCAAAGATATAGGGATTAGAAAATCTGAGTTTGTGGCAAAGACTCAACTCTTGTAGTCTTTAAAAGGCATATTTGATGCTGTTGAAAAGAAATAAACAATTTAAAAGCTGCTGGGAATCATGAAGTTTTATTCTTTGTGGGTTACTCAATACTTCTTAAATAATTTTATATAACATTTAGTCCCCCTTTCTTAATATATCTAACAGAACAAATCCTTCTTTTTTATAAAATAATTTAAAATGATAGTTCAACCTAATCAAATTATATTTAGTCCAACATATTAGAAATACAGTCCTCGATCTGCCTAAATCCATTCTTATCCAACCTTCAAATATATTTAATAAAACAATCAATCATATTTGCTTCCTGTGTCTGCTTAAGTGTCTGAACCTGAATTCTGCGTGAAATAACCTAATCTTGAAACCGTCACTCAACAGAACTAATTCAAACATTTACCATCTTAGATTTAAAATACAAAAACAGGGAAAAAATATTTTCCTAAAATAATTATCTATATTGACTAAACAAATAGTATAATAAACCTTAAAATCCGTTGAAAATGTACTTTGGTAAAGGAATTGAGTCTTTGCCACAAACTCTGAATTTCAAATCCCAATATCTTTTTGACCCAATGTCGTAGATCTTAGATATTTCAAACTATGAATTCTCTTTGATTAAATTATCAAAGTTTGAAATACCAAAGGCTTACGCCAATATTTTTCAAAGTTATAGGGATTAGAAAATTCGAGTTTGTGGCAAAGACTCAATTCAGGGTCACTTTCTTATAGAGTACATTTTATCCAGGAATGAAAATTAGATTAATACGCTTTTAGTGAAAGAAATTACAGAGTCAAACAAGTTATGTTGCCCAATGAAGGATGACTGGATATTATAAAAACAGGAAAACATTTCGATATTAAAAATGTCAATTTAAAAAGTTTTTGTGATCTTGGATTGAATCTTTAATTAAATCTAAATCTTTTTCTGAATCTTGAATCTTAATCTTAATTCAAATCTGAATCTGAATCTTAATTTAAATCTAAATCTGAATCTGAATCTTAATTTAAATCTAAATCTGAATCTGAATCTTAATTTAAATCTGAATCTGAATCTTAATTTAAATATAAATCTGAATCTGAATCTTAATTTAAATCTAAGTCTGAATCTAAATCTTAATTTAAATCTAAATCTTAATCAGAATCTTAATTTAAATCTGAATCTGAATCTAAATCTGAATCTGGATCTAAATCTGGATCTTATTCAAATCTGATTCTGAACTATAAGAATATCGTTTAGAACTTTCCTCTGTAATATGCACAGTGCACAGTGACCCAAAGGTTGCAAGCTCTCTCGAAAAATAGAATTTTGCCTTTTGCTTCTTAAAAACTAAAGTTATTTAGAGTGTACAAATTTGCATGTTTAAGACTACAAAAAAGTAAAAGTGAGTTAGTGATGCAAAATCAAAGGCAAAGGCATTGCAACGCTTTAAAGTCGGCTCAGTCTTAAAAATGTATACAATTTTTATAGCATTCTGGATCTTTTCTAGGAATACCGGAACCCAGAAGAATTATACTCAAATCTCTTTCTCTGAGCAGTTTTTCTTTGGGCTTTTATGTTCAGGAGTTTATGTGAAAGGGTTGGGGAGGGGGAGGGGGGTTTAATGAATAGGATTAATATCCATAATCTTTCGATGGTATTCCTATATTTTACAAGGATTTTAATAATTGTAAAATCCGTAAATTTGAACTATCATGATTCTAACCTGAGAAATTATATCTGAGTTGAGTATGGAAGGGTTGGTAGGGTCTGCAGTAGTAAATTTCCCCGCCAACCCGAACCTTGGTGAGCGGTACACTCTCCTCGTCCTAGATAAAGTAGAAATTTATCTCAAATAAGTAAATAAAAGTTCTTCTCAAACAAGTAAATGTGAACAGATAAACACTAGATATACACTATATAGACCTAAACAATTCTAATTTATCTTACTATATTATTATTTACATTGGTAAAAATTAGTTTGTAGTAAAGTACAAACATAAAATAAAAGTCTTTCTTTTCGGATCTAAAATTTTAATCTCTGGCTCTTCTTAAATGTAAAGAATAGCTACGGTTCTTAGTAAAATATAGAGTTTAAAGTTTTTTTCCGAAGGAATAAACGATAAGTTTCAAAGTAAGTGAAATAAACAACAGTTAAAACTATATAATGATACAATTTGATGATATACTGCATGCATAAATATATTCTGGGACTGGGCACTAATGTTGGTCCTCAGGATATGTATTACATGGCCAGTAAACCGTGCCTAAAAGATTTATTTCAACCCAACCTTTCCACGTCTTTTATTGTAACCTAGCCTTACAAACCTCTGGTATTTTCAGGGAATTATTTAAAATAGCTGAGATGATTACTAGTTATACCGGCAATATTAGCGCCATTTCAACCCAGACATGCAACCATAGTCCAGCCTAGCTAGATCAGCCCTAGACCCTCTTTTACTGGTTCAACAAAGAAACTGCATTATTATATTTGCAAAGTGCAGGTATGGACTATGGAGGCGTACATGTACTGCGGTGTTTATTTATTTTTTCATTTTGTGCAAACAAAATCTTTGTTGCGTAATATATCATTTTAACTGCATTAGGTGGATGCAATATGCATTCTTCCAGGATATAATATTGGTGTGTTTAAAGGTTCAGTGGGAGGAGAGTTGAGCTTAATGTATTAATATAAATAATATCCTTGCAATATAAACATGTCGATTATATCGAAATAAATATCTCAAAGATTGTGCAAAACCCACATTTTCTGAATAAAATAAACTGAAATAGGTTTAGAGATAAGATAAGAAATAGGTTTAGAGAATGGATAAGAAATAGGTTTAGAGNTAGGATAAGAAATAGGTTTAGAAATAGGATAAGATGATTTTAAATGGACTGTAGAGATGTAGACGTAGAGTGACAATTTATCTATAGAGGAGCATGTCCGATTGCTAATGGTACACTTTAAACCTGAAAACTGATTGTTTATAATTGTGGCTTTTCTGTAACAGCAACACGTTACAAATTTAAAGGATACAGTTGTGAATCAGACATGCCAATTTAATAATGCATTCCCCTAGATTTAGGTAATAAGAAGGACATAATCTGATTTTTAGTTTAAGAAAAATTCCTTTGGAGAGACTGCTTACCCTAATCATTTTAATTGATTGAAAAAACTATCATAACGTTTTTTACAAGTGTGTACGTTTTCCTTTTAACTATGGCCATGTTTTTGTTACTACGCTTTATGACACGCTTGCTAAAAATATTGCGCTGTCATTTTTAACAAAAAGCCGAGACAAGCCAGGTATTTATATTTAAAGGCATAATCAGACAATCAGTTGGTAAAATGTTCAAGATATTCATCTTTCCATCCAATATAATAGATTTATTACAACCCTTCTCACAAACTATATATATATACATATGTGTTGTCTAATGTTGTCTATGTATATATATATGTATGTGTTGTCTAATGTTGTCTATGTATATATATATATGTATGTGTTGTCTAATGTTGTCTATGTATATATATATGTATGTGTTGTCTAATGTTGTCTATGTATAGATATATAGATGTAATATATATATATAACATCTCATGTAAGATCAAAGGACGTGTTGTCACAAACTCCATTAGATGTACACAACGGACCACCCCTATAAATATATATTACTACCCCATTTAATAAATTTAGATAATAAATATTTGAAAATGTTTAAACCTAAATTCCTAGATTATGACAAGCATTTACAATCGGAGGTAAGATCTATGCACATAAGTATATGTATCTGGCTTTACGTTGTTTAATACTAGATAATCAATTGAAATAAATACTTTTCATTTCCTTACTTTAATACTGATGCATTGGATGTATTTTAATTCTGAAGAGTATGCAAAAAACTCAAAACCATCTTATTGTTTCATTTTTTAAAGTTTCCAAATATTTAGAATTCTGCTACGTATACTAATGTTTAATGTTCTCTTGATCACTCATAAACTTCATAGAGTTTATACTTTTGACATGCTTAATCATAGAATTATGATACAATTCATTATATACCGATCGAAGGTCTTGAAAAATTTAATTTAATAAATCATGAATTGCTGGAGGATAATTTAATAGTATCAAATAAACTGATATGAATCTGGTCGAGTCTTGAAGTATCCTAGAAATGCATAAACTGAGACCTCGGAAACATGACGTGCAAGATTTTATTTGATAACGAGTCAGTTAAATATATGATAAAAACAGAATTTATTTCAGGAAATATGTAGAAGTAAATACATTTATCTGTTTCAAATAAGATCTCTAGGATATATAAAATGTCTATATTCGATTGCCTGCATGTGTTAATCCAGTGATTTATTCCGTGTCAATGTGAGATATTTACGATACCTATTTGCAATGCGTTCAAGTCGCTAAAAATGACTAGCGAAGAATTGTGTGGGTTAGTTTACATTTACATCGACTTTGTATGCTCAAGCGTATCCTGGTTTTCAAGTACCCCAGCGGGGATAGGGTTAAAAAAATGAGTCTGAATATCAGAGATGTAACTAGAGTGGGTGACCGAGGGGAGGGGGCTCCTTCCCTTGGCATCCCGGGAGAGGGGGGGCTCCTTCCCCTAGCTTCTCCGAGCTTGTGGTTATGAATGAGTACAACACTTTACATGGAATAACAGCGACAAATGGTTAAACAACATGAATGTTCACGGAAAGATTTGAAATTCAAAGATTTAATTCTTTAAAAAGTTTAGCATGGAACGCACTTTAAAATTTCATAAATAGAATAATTTCAATCCACGTCCACGACCCCCCCAGCCCGTAGCTAGGAATTTATAAAGGGGGGGGGGGCACAAAAGTTATATATAGGATAAATATATAAGGGGCGCGCCGCAAGCGAAACATTTGTTTGACCTGAAAAACTCATTAAGGGTTAAAGCTTAAACTTAATTAATGTAGACTAAAAAAATAGATGTTCAACTTATCACACATTACAGTTTATTAAAGGTACAGTAAAGGAAAAATGAAAGGGGGTATAGGCTGAAAGCTAATAACTTTAGCTCTTGATCGCGACCCATGAAAGTTTTATCTGATGTTCCTGTCTCGAGAAATTGATATAAAACTGTGTTAAAATTATACGAAAGTTCATATATGTAAAATTTTGAAAATCTGAAACTTAAATCACGTAACCAGAACTATCACCAATGGCAGAGCAGTATACTGGTCACGTGTCTCCTCCTGTTTCACGTGACCACTTTACTGCACTGCCATTGGTGGAATTTCTGGTCAAGTAATACGGACGTAAAAATAATATTATGAATGAAATCTATTGAAAATAGAAATAACAAATATAAAAGTAAACCTAATTTACAATTAGCTTTCTCTGGGATATCATCGTTTTCAGATTGGTTGCTTATTTGCTGAATATGATCTGTTTAAACCTACTACTTTTATACAAAATTGTATATATATTAATTTTCGTATATATTTGACACAGTTTTATATCAATTTCTCGAGACAGGAACATCAGAGATGACTTTCATGGGTCGAGATCAAGAGCTAAAGTGATTAGCTTTCAGCCTATACCCCCTTTCATTTTTCCTTTACTGTCCCTTTAAGATATATATTCTGTCTGTTTTCGTTCCCTTAATCGCTATTGAATAATTGAGAAGAGACTTGCATCAATACAAACAAGGAGGTATAAGATGTAGAGATTTGATTTAAACTATAAATAAATGTAATACTGAAATTTTTGAATCACGAATAGCCAATATTTATTTTTAATGCAGGGAAAGTAAATGATGTAAATTCCTGTAAAGATCAAATAAAGCTCAAGCATGAAAATCTTCAGTTTTCTCAAAACTAATTTGGAAAAAAACTCCCCTGCAAGTTCGAGGATGAGTACAAACAGCTTCTCCTAAACCTGACCATATTTTGTATATAATTTACATTTGTCTCCATGTTACTTTTTTCTGTACTAATGGCTCATTAGAATCATTAATCTAATGAAAGTAGGAAAAAAGGAAAAGCTTCTCAAAATACAAAAAAGTTAATATAAACCATTGGTAACAAAAATTAGATTTTATGCCAATTTTCTCCCATTTTTTTTTCTTTCTTTCTACTTTCGTTTCCTTCTTTTCATTTTTTCATTTTCTTTTTTTGTCTCCCCCTCTCTTTAATATCCATGTGGCCTGCAACCTTGCAAGGCAGTGGCTTATTTTGAGAGAAAATCTATTCTTGAAAATATACCTGCTGGAATCCCTGGTTGAAGTTTCCATTTAGTTCTGCTGCATCCTGGGGATCACTGTAGTTCAGGTTTATACGTAGATCCTGAATATAGTTCATATATCAATCCGTAGATCCTGAATATGTACTGAACATCTAGATAGTTCAGTTTATTCATAGATAGTGAATACACATTTGATCTATATATCCTTAAACATAGTTCAATGTGTACATAGTTCAGTTTGCAATACCTACTGAATACATATTTAAGATTATCCACAGATACTGAATACAGTTCAGTTTAGCCATGGATACTAATATAGTTCAGCTTATCCATAAATACTGATATTGATATACTGATTATCCAAAGTTACTGTTACAAATAGTGTTTTTTTATCTAGTTTAGTTCATTCATAGATAATCAATAAAGTTTAATCACAAATATGTCGATAAATTAATTTATTTTAAGAACCGGATATTATTTATTTCAAGAACCGGATATTATTTATTCCCTTAAAGATACGATGAATGACAAGGCTTATTAAGATATATTGTAGATTTGTAAGAAATTAATTAAATGATTAGCAATATCCTGTCGTCAGTTCTCACAGCTATAAACAGGGTTAAACTGCAGTGCCACGCACGTGCACACTAAGGGTGTTCAATTTTTAATTTTTTTTATTTTTCCATCAGCAATTGTACTGTATTGTTAATCTATACAAATTTGAGTAAATTTTCCGCGATCAATTTTTTTTATGGATAAACGCATTCTTAAGATTTCAATATTCCAAAATCTATTGTTTCAATACTAAACTTTGGATTTCGTCGTATTTTGGTGATTTTTCTCTCACTTGCTTTTTAACGTCGCAAAATCAACATGAAATCTAAAATTTGGAGAAAAAAGTCTTTTCTGAATGTTTTTTAGAACTCCAAGCCATCACTATTGTGAAAAACAAAATGAAATAAATCTCATCCCCCAACTGTTCACGCCACCAAGACTTCAAATTCAAGTGGCATCTAAATTGGTGAAATTGGTTATTTTTCGGAATAATTTACGAAAACATTTACACAATTGTAAATCCAATAATTTTTCAAATTTAGGAATTACGAAACATCAAAAATGTATTTTTGACAACTTATTGTAATTTAGAGAATTTGAAAGAATTTTAATGTCTCTCCAATTTTCAATTTGAAATCCTTTGAACACGGAATTCCTTAAAATTAACGTAAAGGGAATATTTCAGTTTGAGATTTAGGTCACTCATGAACATCGATACAACATGGAGGTCTCTCATGAATATCGATACAACATGGAGGTCATTCATGAATATCGATAGAACATGAAGGTCTCTCATGAATATCAATACAACATGGCGATTTCTCATGAATATCGGTTTTAACATGGAGGTCTCTCATGAATATCGAAACAACATGGAGGTCTCTCACGAATATTAATACATCATGGAGGTCTCTCATGAATATCGATACAACATGGAGGATTCTCCTGAATATCGAAACAACATGGAGGTCTCTCATAAATGTCGAAACAAATTAAAAATTCAAACATTTTTTTTCTTAAAGCTTTTAAGATGGCTTACATGTTAAGTAAAATACATTTTTTGCTAAAAATGAATAAAATATATCCTCATGAAAACCTGGACTTTCAATGGAAAAAGAAAAAAAGTGTCGATATGTTAATCACGAACGTCTAGAATAAGCAATTATAAAAACGGTATCTAAAAATTAGAAAAAAAGTCTCGCCTGCATCGTTTTTCAAATCAAAATTAAAACCCTTTAGATTAAATAAAGGTCTGAAAAATTGCAAAAGTTATTTTTTGAGCCACACCATGGAAATTATTTGACAACCATGAGTCAAGAATTGTTTCTGCATTTAAATGGGCAAATTTGCTTCAAAATGGAATAAGTTGCATGTTTTTTTAAGGATAATACATGGTTAAGGTTATGTAAACTTTTTTAGGTTTCGGATTTGTTAAGCATTTGTTCAAATTCTTCAAAAATTTTAAACATTTAGCGTAAAAGAGAGTAATTTTAAGGTAAATTGTCGAGTTATCAAATACCTGACTGAGGTAAACAGTCGTCAACACAAGAAAAAAATAAAATGTAAAAAGCTAAAGCTTCCATTACGTAATCTGCAGTACTCTGGCCAAATACATTGTGGGTTTTACTGGGATTTTCTCGGTGTATTGTTTACCTGTTGAAGTTCAGGTTGAGCTGGTTGAACTGGTTTTCTGAGTTTAACATCTTTAAGTTGGTTAAGCTGATGCTGTTGTAGTTGAAGTTGTTGTTGAGGTTTATCCAAGGTTTTTAACCGTAGTCCAATGTTTGGGCTTTTTCTTTCATACTTGAAACTATTGCTCCTGTATACTGCGTTATCCCTGAAAAAAAGATAATGAATGACATTTCGAATTTTTTTTGAGTTTGATATATATTTAACTTCTGTACATTTGCATATTCATAAACAGGACTTAAAGACTTAATGTTGCATGCTTATCTAAAAATATGTGTAAAGCGCCTGATATTTGATAAATCATGGTTCTAAGATTTCTTGAAGTAATCTAGAACTGGAAGGATTATTAAATGCTGACTAAACAACTACTCGGAGAAGTTTAAATCCAGTTTTTGTTTCCTGAGGAACCTCTAACCCGTCCCTGCACCTTCTTACTGCCAGGAGCTCATGCTTCCTTGCAATTTGTTAATCCTGGTTGGCAGAGAGCTAGCATTTAGGTGGGGGGGGGGGGGGGGGGAGATATTGTTCTTCTTAAGGTTTGGTCTATCCAGATCTATCAGATTACGTTTGTCCATGCAGTTAGATTGATTAGAAGACTAGGATTAAACAGTTCACTAGACAATCAAGTTTAATAGAAGAGGAATAAAATGTGCTTTGACAAGATATCCCAGATAATGGAATTACTATCACAGTGCATCCCCATTATACTTGGATTAGGACCGTCAGAGGGACATGATTTAGAGATGAGCTACTTGGAATGTAAACAAGAGCAAAAAAAGCGGAATTCTTTATAAACATTTGTTTCTAGTTTGCCCATGGACATCTTTCAGCGGTACAAGGAATTGAGTCTTTGCCACAAATTTAAATTGTGTAAACCTTTGATATTTCAAACTTTTATTATTAGATCTAATCTATAGTTTGAAATATCTTAGCTCATACGTCATTGGTCTGCAAAGATATAGCTGATTAGAAAATCATAGTTTGTGGCAAAGACTCAATTTCTTTGAAAACCTGAGATATTTTGTGTTCACTTAAAATACTTAAACAATCCTTTCAATAAATAAACATAACATTTGGAGATTGTATATTTCAATTGTACACCATAACACTCTTTATTAATAAAGAATTTAGATCAAAATCTCGTCCTTAGATGCCCCGCCTATTTCTCTCCGAAATCATCAAGTTAGTATCATATTTACTTTATCTATTGACATCCGATCTCAATGTTTATGATAAGACATTCCTCCACGGCTGATAAGGAATCAATAAACAATCAATCAATCGTGTTCTTCTAAACCAGTTTAATTGGATTCCGATTCATTCATCAGCTGTATTCACCACCCCGGGTTTCTTTCAGTTCGGAGAATCCAATTCAAGGCCAATTAAATACAAGAGAGAGATATAGAGAGACAAGGATGTTTAAAAACTTACTTTATTAGATAAATTAGCCAAAAATTGGACTTTCATGGGTTTGCGCCATCGGGTTGCAAAGCTATAGGGATTCGAAAATTAAAGTTTGAGGCAACAAATAACGTCTTATGCGCAGGTTTTAAATTATAATATAATTAAGTATATTCATGTTAATGGGTTATCCTGAACAAATTAAAAACTATAATTGAAGGTGAAGAAGGGGGGGGGGAAGGTTTATTATTGCGTGTTTATTAACCATACATTTTGTACCTTGAGTCTGTATTTATAATTAATCTGTCTACTGCAATTTATTTATATATATATGTTTGTATACGGATGTGTATCTATATGTATAAAATACATAATATGTAATATCTTTATTTTTAAAACTGACCACTTTGTTATTTTAATTGCATATACGGAATATAAGTAAACAATGTATCATTTCATGAACACTGTATAGGTACATGTTCCCAGATTTGAGCATAGCTTATTTTGATATTTAAACCCGGAACTCTCTTTAGGATAAGATATTTAATTTTGAAAGATTGGCAGGATCTTGAAAAAGTGCTGTAATCTCATCTTCTCATTCAAGTTTCAGGGATGAATTGTAAAAGTTGGATAACACCTTTAAATGAAATGTATCCTTGTGGAAAATTAAAGTTTAAGGTGCGGTGTCCATTCAAGTCGTCACTTCAATCAAAAGACACGAGTTAAAAAAAACGTAAACCCTAGATATAATTTTTTACAATTATGTACTTTAAGTTATCACTCACGAAAAAAAGCCAAGAGAAAGATGATAAAAAAAATATCATGTGAATTCTCTTAAACCTAAAGATACACACAAAAAAAAAGCGTAAAAGTTTCCTTTTAAAATAATCGTGAATACAAGAATAACCATCGCAAAAGAAGTATAATCATAGAAAGGGAAATCGTTGTTAAAATGTGTGTTGGAAAAGCTGGGATCAACCTGGCCAGAATTAAAGTTTAAGGTGCGGTGTCCATTCAAAAGAAGTATAATCATAGAAAGGGAAATCGTTGTTAAAATGTGTGTTGGAAAAGCTGGGATCAACCTGGCCAGAATTAAAGAGGTTCAATACGACTTTAATCAAATCAAGATCATTCAAGATTTCTTAAAAATCATATTTTTTATATAATTAGACTATAGATTATATAAATTCCAAGGATAGATTTGGAAAGTGTCAGCACCTATGTCAGTGACTCGTCTATCACTTTCTTTTCAATCTTGCAGCAGCCAACAATCTAACCTATTCAACCCAAATGTCTGATCTTGGTTTAAGCCAAATTTGATATTTAATAGATCACACAAAGTTCTCGCACGCAGAATCAAAACCCACTAGAAATACAAATCAGAATTTATCAATTGTAAGGAGGTAAAATCTCATTTTCTTAACGTTCTTAACGATTTTTTTTTGAATTCTTGAAACATATTGAACAATATTTTTTACACAGAATCATCGAATTTTAAACTTAAGACACTGTAATAATTTAAGGCTATAGGATTAAAACGTAATAATTTCTTTAAATTTGTATTGACATGAATGGGAGCTAATTAAAAATGAGAAATACCGCTACTGGAAAGTTAATTGTGATCACGAATTTGGAAAGAACGAAGAACAGGAGGCATGATTAAACTATGATTTGAATCGGTATCATTTTTATTTCAACTTGCAGTAAAAATAATAGATGTTGTACTGTAACTAATTGCCAGCACAAACTCCGGTTTCCTAATTCATGCTACATCTTTGCAACCCAATATCGTAGGCCTTAGATATTACAAACTATGTATTCTGTTAGATCAAATAAGTTAAGTTTCTAATATCATTGGTTTATAAGATACTCTCATAATTTTTTCGTAGATTTTTTAAAAATAAAACAAATATTTAGGCAATTTTTTACATTCTAACCATCCATAACTTCTGCATAGAAAATTGAGTTTGTGGCAAAGACTAAATTCTTGTATTATTTGGTTTGTTGAAACCCCCTTCTTAAATATCGTAAACGGTCTCTTTAAAATATGAGATCTAAAACAATATTATACAGTTTATGGGAACCTGAAGATGCTGAGAATGAGAAGAGTTTAGGACAGGTGAAATCTAGGAATCTAGGCTCTTTGTATATAATTACACGATAGACATTCAAGAAGATAAGAGTGGAGAAAATCTTGAAATTAGAAAAAGAAAATTGTATTTCAGGAGAATTATTGGAGTGAAGGGAACCAAAAAAATTTACGTGAAGGAAAAGGGAAATAAAAAAATCAAGGAAGATTAACAGATAATAGAGGGAATAAAGAAATAAAAAGGATGATCACTGATCAGTAATAATGGGAAATAATGAGAGTTTAAATCTTGAGAGATCGGCAAAGACGAAGAAAAAAGAACAGAGAGTTAAAGGTAGGAATCGATAATTATCGAGAGAAAGTAGAACTAGGTCTGGATAGTTAGATAACCCTCTAGTTTGGCCGAAAGTAGAACTAGGTCTGGATAGTTAGATAACCCTCTAGTTTGGCCGAAAGTGCGCGAGAGAAAAATGGTTCAACTATCCTCCTTGACTGCAACGTATGATTAATAAATTCCGACCTAGGGAGATTAAAGGGATTAAAAAGAGATCTGGGAACGGATTTTATGAATAGCAGGAAGTAGCTGAACCGCACAGACGTGGCTCAACCATGTCTCATATTCATTTAATCTGGTCCCTGGTGAAAAAAAAACAATACTGGTAGACATATAAAGTTTGTGTCTTTAATAATGGAATTTAAGATAGAAATACAAAACTAATCTGAATATCAATGGAAGTCGGACAAAAAAAGCTGCAGAAAAATTAAATATACATTTTTCTTTAATATGAATCTATTTGACAAATGTAGATTCTTCAACCTAAACCTGTCGACCTAAGTTATAAATTTTAAATTTTCGAGACAGTCAAAATATAATCCTGTCTGTATCCACTCCTAGGTACATACAAAGATTTTACAGATAGGATAAGAAAGCATTATTTGTCCCATCTGCATAAAATGTGATGTACACGTAAATAACATGAAATCTATAATTTAATAATGATTACATGACAGGCAGCAGCTGCAGCTTGTGCAGTATTGATATACAGGTTCAAGGAACAGACATTTCTTCGCCACACCCTTGTATATTTTATCCACCTGGTCCTCTCTCCACACCCTCCTCCCTCTTACTCTTTTCTCCTCTCATCTTCTCTACCCCCCCCCCTCTTTCTTCTTCTTCTTTCTCCTACTCTATTCTTCTTAAACTTCTAATCTTCTATCGATCTTCACATCGTCTCTTTTCCTTATTTCACCTCTCATCTACTATTTTCTTTTTCCTTTTATCCTTTTCATTCCATAATCCTCATTTCCTCCTCTTTACCTCCTGGTTAATACTTTAAAGTAATTGAGTCTTTGCCACAAACTCTGAATTTATAATCCCTATATCTTTGGAACCCAATGTCACAAATCTTTGATATTTAAAACTTACATTATTTGATCATTCATAGTTTGAAATATCTAAGGTCTACGACATTGGAATCCAAAGATATAGGGTTTAGAAAAGCAGAGTTTGTGGAAAAGACTTAACTCCTCTACTCTTTTTCTTCCTTCTTCGTCGTTTTTTTTCCATTCTTTTAATTGTCTTCTATTTTTCCCCTCTCCTTGTCTTCTTCTTCTTTACTTTATTTTATCCTTTTAATTTTTGTTTTCTCTTATTCTCCTCTCTTTGTCTTCTTATTCTCTGCTCTTCTCCTTTTCTCTGAACCACAATTCTGAACTTGTAAATTATACAACTTACACATTTAACAATCTCAGAACTTAAAAAAGAAAAAAGAAAATAAATATTGGGATTTCCTAAATGTTGACGCCAGGAAATTTTCTAAATTTTGGAGAAATTTGCGTATTTGGGATCCATATAAAAAAGATAACTTGGATTTTACACTGAAGTTTTTAATATTATCTTTCGATGACAACGATTGCAAAGCAGATAACCGTTGTTTATTAAAACCATCTGAACCTCTTAAATTTCATCAAGTTCATACTTGATATTAAAGTAAACAAACAATTTATATAATTGAACATCTTCTATTTGCTCCCAATGTGAACTGAAAACTGTAGGCATGTTGGCAAGTTAATTATAGGCAAATACAGGAAACCAAATTCAACTCAAGTTAGAACTTCAACAATATATTTTTATATTTAGAGGATAAAAAACGGCAAAAAGAGAAGAAAAAATATTCAAGAAACATTTACTCCTAAGCCTACTCTAAAAGAAAAGTAAAGAAAGAACATCATTACACAAACTATCTAAACCAACTCTGTGAATAGAGCAAAGAAAGAACATCATTACACTAACTATCTAAACCAACTCTGTGAATAGAGCAAAGAAAGAACATCATTACACTAACTATCTAAACCAACTCTGTGAATAGAGCAAAGAAAGAACATCATTACACNGAGTTTACAATATCTCTCTAAACATGCTCTATGAGAAGTGTAAAGAAAGAGTTTACAATATCTCTCTAAACCTGCTCTATGAGAAGTGTAAAGAAAGAGTTCACAATATCTCTCTAAACCTGCTCTAAAGAAGTGTAAAGGAAGAATAATGTTTTTGATTTATTCTGATCTTGAATAAATTGATTTAGAGTAATGATTCAATTAATATCAGATATAAGACTTGCAAATAGTACCATCATTCATTTATTCGTGCACATATTCATGAATTTAATTAAAGAACCTCATGTTGATTATTGCCTGTTATTATATTCAAATAAATTTTACAATAAAAACAAGTTGTCAACCTGGAAAATTTAACGTGTAGTATATATATTGATTAAAGAGCAAGTGTTAACAATTTCTAAATAAATTGAATCAAGTCTTGAATCAAGTCTTCTCAAATTTTAGAATTTTACAGTTTTTTTTTGAAAAAAAAATGAAAATATTCATGAAAACAATTTAATTATTTTTAAAATTTTCTATATGAATATTGGAGTTGAGTTTCGGCCACAAACTCTGATTTTCTGTATGAATATTGGAGTTGAGTTTCGGCCACAAACTCTGATTTTCTGTATGAATATTGGAGTTGAGTTTCGGCCACAAACTCTGATTTTCTGTATGAATATTGGAGTTGAGTTTCGGCCACAAACTCTGATTTTCTGTATGAATATTGGAGTTGAGTTTCGGCCACAAACTCTGATTTTCTGTATGAATATTGGAGTTGAGTTTCGGCCACAAACTCTGATTTTCTGTATGAATATTGGAGTTGAGTTTCGGCCACAAACTCTGATTTTCTAACCCATTTATCTTCATGTCGCATGCCTTTGATATTTTAAACTATAAAGTCTGTTAGATCAAATAGTTTAAATTGGAAATTTACACCATCAGGTTCCAAAGATATTGTGATTAGACAATTTTAGTTAGTGGTAAAAACTCAATTCCGTGACAAGGATAAGTCGGAAATAACGCATAAGAAAAAATTGAGATAAAAAACATTTTTGATGATATTTCTGGGAGACTTTAAAAATCGATTTTAATAAAATTAAAAAGAAAATTTTTTATGCAGGATTTCGTTATCGTTTACATGCTTACGTAGAAGTAAAAATAAGCCAAAGCATTACTTTTTTCTTGCACTCTGCCCCCCCTGCCCTCCCTACTTCACTACCCCTTCTCGTACTTCCTTCCTCCCTACTTCCATACCCCTTCCCCTTTCTCCTACTCCCCTTCATCCCACACCCATCGACCCTCACTCCTCCTGTTACTCCCTGTCTTCTCACATCTTCCATTGAAAGGATTGCATGTATAAATTGGTTGTGGTTGTGGTATGAATAAAAGTAGTGAGCTATGTGTGTTATTACTGCAAAATTCGTCCCAGCTCAGCTTATTTACCACTTTTACTCCCTTGATGTATATAATCAGACTCTAACTTTAATCATAGGATCTTGTACAATGTACATACTTTCCTTCTAATCCATCATATAAACTATACACTACAGTTTACACGATTGTACAATTACTTGCTGTGTCATATATTCTAATTTTTCTAATAACGATATGATGGGAGTAAAAAGATCCGCAACAAAATTATGAATTTAAGCCATTGAGTTCTTTTTTGGGGCTTTTCATTTTTTAAACCGTACATGTGGGATTGCCAATAACATTTTCTATCTTCATATGTTACTTATATCGCAACCAGTTTTCTTGTTGTACTGAAAAAAATAAAATAAAACGAGAAATCTTGGAAGCAAAAATTTAAAGAGAATTGAGTCTTAACCACAAACTCTGATTCTCTCTTTCCCATATCTTTTCAATCCAATGGCATAGACCTTAGATATTTCAAACTATGAATTCTAAATTTGACATATGAAAGGCTTACACCAATAGGTTGCAAAGATTTAGGTATTAGAAAGTTTGAGTTTGTGGCAAAAACTCAATTCCTTTCGAACAGCCAAAAAAAACTTTCCTTGGGGTCATGTGACGTGCTGCATAACATTTGGGCTTCATTAGTTCATCCAATTTTACAGTTCTTGAACAAACCAACCAAAGGAACTCAATTTTTGCCAAAACTTAAATTTTCACATCTCTACATTTTTGCAATCCAATGTTTTAGCCCTTTAATATTTAAAACTATGAATTCTGTTAGATAAAACATCAAATGTTTACACAATCAGGTTGCACAGATAAAGGAATTAGAAATTTTAGTTTCAGACAGATACAAAAAGACAGAACTGTACAAAATCAACACTAGAGTCATGCCTGGTATGGTTCAAGCAAAAAGCACAAACATTTAATATAATTACATTTCTTATAATTAAGTTTCATCTAATTGAACTTCATTTAATTAGAGAATGACTTGTTTAAATTTTAAACAATGTCACAATTCCTACTTCTTTTTTTTAAAGAAATTAAGTTTATGCCACCAACTCGAATTTTCTAATCTCTTATCTTTGCAACCCGATGTTTTAGATTTCAAATTATTAATTCTGTTAGATCATATTAATGGTTTACAACATTAGGTTTAAAGAAAAAGGGATTAGAAAATTTGAGTTTGTTGGCAAAAACATATTTATTCTGTTTTTAGCTTTAGGATTGATTAGCTTGAATTTGAATGGCTGTCAATTATTAATTATTATCAATTACTATTTACCTTCTCCTCACTTTAGTTCCTGTAGCTCCTGATACACACCACAGTGGGCCTAACAACGGTATTCTCTTGGTCCATCTGGGGACACCCTTCCCTACATCCTCGTAAACTAAACTTATCTGGGGTACACACCCGCACTTTGACACTTTCAATGTATCCTGGTCCTTTAAGTACGGATCTCTTAACGTGTCTTGCTCCGTCACAATGAATTCTCTCAAGGAGTCCTTATCCTTAGGATAGGGTCCCCTCAGGGACTCCTTCTCTCTATAGAAGGATCCTCTGAGGATATCCTGGTCCTGTCTGCAGGAGGATATCTTTACCCTCTCCATGCCTGTCTCACTATCATGCTCACATGTCTACCCTTGCACAGACAGGCAGTGACTGCATAAGATAGGCCTGGCGCTCCCCGCATGGAAGGTCACGTCTGACCGGTTTGAGCGTGTCCCGCCTCGACATCGGCGACGAATTGACCAGTGTGTGTGTATGTATGGGTGGCAGGGACGGATAAAACATAAATGGCCGGAGGACGGGGTTGGATGATCTATGCAGTAGAAATAATTAGGCCGAGCCTTTACATTAGCTTTGTTCTCCTTGTATGTATATATATTATAAAGCATAGGAGCAGAGGTGTGCCCGAACCATCTTTACAGGGAACGACACAAACTCATCAATCATATTCATGCACAGAGGGTTGGTTATTTTGTTTAAACACAATTTGCTTAATACTGGGATATCGGTCAGGGCTGTCTTTCAAGCTCCTGTCTTTTCAGGGTGATAATTGTACCTAATTTACATTTAAATAAAAGTATCATGCCGTATGAAAGATTTTTTTTGGAACTAAAATTTCTCTCTGAAGGAAAAAACTTCATTTTAAAAAGGGGCCGTTCATAAGTTTGCATGGCAACCATATAGATTAAAACATTTATTTTGAATAATTAAAAACTTACTGAATAATCATCTGACAGTTAAGTAACAAAACATTGTAACTAGGCGTGAAATATAAAAATGTAATTAATAGATTAATAAAAACTTGAAATATCTAAACCTGAAATAATTAAAGACTGAACAATACCTAAAAATTCAAAACCTAAATTTTAAGCTATTAGGAAAAACGTTATACAGGCGAATGTGAACCAGGCGAATGACTACTAGGCGAATGAGTGCTAGGCGAAATGTACTCGTTCGCCTCGTTCACATTCGCTTGCATAACATTTTTCCTGTATATAACAGTTTGCCTGCATAACATTTTGCCTATATAACAGTTTGCCTACAAAGCATTTGATTGTATTTTACGCCTAAACCAGATTTTTGAAACATTCGCAAACTTTGAAACAGGAAAACCCGCTAAAAAGATTTGTAAATAATGCAAATTCAGTTGTATTTTTTTCTCTTGAAAATATGGCAGCACTTATCAAAGCTGGAGAATCTAAAAGAGGAAAGCCTTCCATTATTGATAACAACAACTAGTTATATGTTGGACATGGAGGCATGGAAAAAACCATCAATTGGAGATGCTCTACAGAACACCACAAAAAAGACAGAGATCTCTTACAAGCCGTGGAACGGATCAAGTTTGTTGTTGAAGGATTTGAGACTACTCCAAGGTAGGAGTACATACAACAAACTGCAAATGAGTTGAGCAGGGCAGCCAAGTAAAGGAATTGAGTCCTTGCCACAAATTCTGTTTTTCTAATCCCTATTTCTTTTGAACCCAATGTCGTAAACCTTTGATATTTCAAACTTATATTATTTGATCTAACAGAAGTCATAGTTTGAAATATCAAATGTCTGCAACTTTGGACTGCAAAGATATAGGAATTAGAAAATCAGAGTTTGTGACAAAGACTCAATTCCTTTGTGTTTTCTATCATTCTATGCAGACACATATGATGTGATATTATGTTTTGAAAATACAATTGAAAAACCTGTTCTCAAAGGAATTGAGTCTTTGCCACAATATTAAATTTTCTAATCCCTATATTTGCAACCTGGCAGTGAAAACCTTTGATATTTCAAACTTAGATTATTTGGTCTAACAGAATCCAAAGTTTGAAATATTTAAGGTCTATGACATCTGAGCTGAAAACTTTAGAATGTATTATCCTTAATCCCGATCTGTTAATTAATCTGGAGATTAAATTCATTAGAAGAACAAGCAATATTTAATCTGGAGATTAAGAAAAAGAGTGGATTAAGCATTAATCCTGATATCCACCATTCTAAAGTTTTCAGCTCAGGTTGCACAGATATAGGTAATGAACATTAGATTTTTGTGGCAAAAACTCAAATTCTTTGATCCAGACTCAGACTTAGGCAAAAAAAAATAGTTTCGATCTCTTAAAAAGGAAATCAATAAAATGTAAAAGTTTGATAATAAATTATATCTGAAATATTAGAACAAAACTAAACCTGAAAGATCTGAATATGTATTATTGTATGTATAAATATAAGAAGGAATGTCATCAGTGTGAATATAGAATTATCTGAAATATTAGAAAAGAGGGAGGGGAGAGATGAAATATTAAGTACATATTATTTAATATGATATGTATAGTATCGAAATACTAAACTGGAGCCCGGGAGCTCTGTAATTATATATTTATATGTGCATGTATGCATGTACAGGGTTACACATAAAGGATGAAACTTCAGAGACGACTGTACGGAATGTTCAGTTTTATTCTTACACTCTTAGTTCCCTGAAACTTGTTAACTTAGTTAACTTGTTTATTTCTTTATTGAATCATTAAGTGTAACTCTGAAAACTGTGTGCAATTCTGAAACCAAATGTACCCTTCAACCTTCAGAATTAGTTTCAGGTCGTCAGTAAAGTCTCATTCTTTGTAAGAAACTATATTTTACATTTAGATTTGCAGTAGAAGAAGAAAATCTTACGCTATTTTTGCAGATTGTGGCGTTGTTAGACCTCAGAAATGTTAAATGAAGTTGTGTTGAATAACTTTTTCGTTTTGGTTGAAAACCTGCTCTTCACAGGAATTCAGATGTTCTGTTTGATAATCAGGGAGTCTTCACTATCGAATCCATTTTCAACCAAGATGGCAATACCCGATTCATAGCGGCACCCTAAACAACTTTATTCAATTCAGTATAAATTAGATATCAATGTTTCAATTTTGAAAACTGATTATTTTCAATTGTGGTTTCTCTTCAAAAGGCACTTGCACATTTCTATCCTGCAGGAAAACAAGAATGAACAGACATAAACACTTGTAAACATAGAAAAACGACTATATCTTCCACATTGTTAAATTTCAAGGGTACTGTTGTGAATCGGGCATTGCCGTTTATGCATTGAGGTTCACTTAAAATTATGCTTACAGTTCCTTTAAATGTAAAACTTTTTTGTGTTTTTATTGAAAACTTTTTTGCTGGACTTTTCATTTTTAATATTAAACTGTGTATTGTCTGTAAAGATTACAATTTATACGATTGGATGGAATTAAAAATTGCTGACTGGAATTAAAAGATACTTGATGGCAAAGATACCTCTGAAAGTTATTTCAGAGGTGTAAGCATCTTTTGTACTGCAGTGTACTGTCACTGGGCGGTAATGTAAACACAAGACGGATGTCCAAGCGTGGCATGGGTCCATCTTTCACATAAATAATCAATGAAATATTCTGTTCATAGGAAACTATTATTTGAATTATCAAAATTATAAAAATTAAATGCTTTTAACCTCCTCGGACACTAAACGAACACTGATGCATCTATTCTTGTTTACAAATTCCGCCCAGAGAGAACTGGTTTCAATATGTACGTACTACGTAGAGTATACGCAACTGCAATTAAATTTCCTTGCATTACATTCTTGCTTGATGGAACCTGAAGAAATTAAATAAAATTGAAGAACTCTAGACATCCAGAAAAGACTGGATTATCTATATATAAAGGTTTAATCTCTGTTTGTATGTCTGTCTGTTTCTTTGTTTGTTTGACCGATCTTAACTTAGAAACTCCTTTGTCTCCAATTTTGATTGGGGAACTCGAGAGAGCCACAGGAATGTTATCAGCTAGGTTTAGGGATTATTATTTAAATGGGTCGAAAAACAACTAAAATCGTAATTTACGACCAAGAGCGGGTAAACGGCGGGAGTAACTACGAGTAACCTGGGCAACGCTGGGTTCTCAACCAAGCTAGTAATTTAATAAAGACAAAAGTTGATGAATAATAAGACGGAAAAGACAGAATGATTTATTGTTGAACTGAATAAGCGCTTGATTGCTCCACTATAAATTGTTTTGGCCCCAGGAACAGATATATTAGCTTCAACATCTTCATACAGAAAAATTAAACTTGTATGAACAGTGTTTGTATATTGAATATTTATTGTATATATATAATTTGCTTGTCTGTCTGTTTGTTTGCTTGTACTCCATAAACGTAAAATCGGCTGGATGGATCGAGCCTTATTGAATCAACTCACGTGAGAAAGTTTAAAAATTTGCCTGGACAAAATGTCGAAATTTATTATGTTTATAGTATATTTATTTTTTAGCAGAAAATCCGGAACAAATTTTAGAATAATTGAAAATGGCGACTTTCAGTGTTCAAATTTGCTAATAAATGGTATACCTAAAAGCCTAGTATTGCATGAATTGTATAAACAGGAATGAAAATGAATAGAAGAAAAGAAGAAAGTGCATCCAATAGTACATTTATAACCCTATGCATTGTGTATACTCACTTTTACTGTTATATATATATTCAAGTATATATACTTCCTCATCTAATATCTATCTTCCTCTGTCCCGCCCAACTAGCACCAGAGGGATTCAAAGGTTGCAAGCTGTCACGGAAAACTCGATGAGATAAAACTCTAAAGCTTAAACCGAGTGCTTTAAAATTATTAAAAAAATTTAATCAGCGATATGAATTTGATATAAGTCTTATACATTAAAAATAATCTTCTTATTGTAAATGCAACCAACAAGGATTAAGAGAAATAAAACTTAATTAAATCTTTACAGTCTCAACCATATATAACCATATATATACTTTAGACCAATTTAGGAATACTGGGACCGAATTTAATGAATTTGATCTAGGTCGCTGAACTACCTTGTATCACCGATTCAAAGTTATATACAGGCTGTACTTTTAATCTTGCCAATTTTCAAAATGCTGTAACTTTGTTATTGTATACAATGAAAATGCACAATTCTAATACAAAAAAAAATGCGCAAATTCATTTATTTCATTTGAATATGGTGTTTTCTAAAGAAGCCAAGATTTGGATTGTTCAGAACTATTCTTCTGACAAAGAATTAACTCAGCTTCGCAGGGATTACATTATTAACTTTACCATTACTAAAAAGAAGACTGTTCCTCTTTCAAGAGTGTGATTGTTGAGAACTTTGCCAAGGGAATCT